GGCCTCGAAGCTGCTCGGGCTCGGGCACCCAGGCCCCCATGAAGCCCGTGGGGACGGAGCCTGTACAGTCCACCCTCACTCACCCCACCTGCCTTGTACGTCCCAGCAGCTCCCAAATGAGCAGAGGGGAAGCGGCCCTGGGGAGGACCCGCCCCAGCACTGCAGCTCCACCCCCTGCCCTGTGTACCTGCCAGCCCTGGGGCCTGGACCCTGGGGGTCTCTCCCTGGGCACGGGGAGGGCTGCATGGCATGCTGTGGTCCCGATGTGCTGCGCACAGGCCTGGGCTCTGCAGTCAGGTTTCAGACGCGGCCTTCTGTACCCTGCGGCTCTCTGTGGCATGAGCTGTCCGTCATCACAGTCAATCCCCAGCGCTAATTACACGGCAGGCTGTGAGGCAGGCCAGCGTGGGGCTTGGGGCCAGCCCACCAGGGAGACCACATAAAAATGTCCCAGGAGCTAGACTCGCCACAAAGCACTCGGATCCACTTGAAAGGACTTGGTTTGGGTTGGGGGTTGGTGGGGGCTGACAAACGCTGACAAATTACAGGCGTGGGAGCCCGGGCCCTGGTTAACCAGCCTGGCGTGGCCCCTGGTTAACCAGCCTGGCGTGGTCTCTTCTCCTGGGATCTCTGGATTGGAAGTCTGAAGGCCGAGGAGTTCTGAGCCTCCAGACGCTGGTGCTGAGCTTGGGGGCAGCAGGGGGTTGGTGCTGGCCCCGTTGCCCTTGTCCTTTACTTACGGGACATGACACCCGGGTGCGCGTCTCCATCCCCCTTCCTCCCCTGCACAGGGGCGAGACCGCCCGATCCTACCAGCTTGTTATGAGGCTTAACTATTAAGTTGTCGGGAAAGTATTTTTCTATGCAAAAATGCGTCATAACCTTCCTGACAGCCCAGCCCGGCTGCTGTGGCACCGTGGTAACCCAGTGCCCCGAAGGCTGGAAGCTACGTGGCCAACTGCGGGTTCCGATTCCTCCTGGGCCGAGAACAGCCAGAGGCTCTGTGGGCACCCGGATCTCACGGGGCTGAGGGCTGGGAAGGGGGTCGGAGTGACGATCCTCTCACAAGCACGGGCATGCACCTCTCTTACGTAACCACGCGAGTGCTCAGGGCGGGCCGGCACATCGGATGCTGTGGGGGTTCCGCCGTCGCGGTGCCTACTGATCGGCGAAGGAGGGTGCCCTCTGGCCCCAAGCATGGCTCCGATTGCCGGAAGGGCTGGGCGGGAAGG